CATCGTTTTGGTTTATGATATTTAACTGTAACATTTTTAACTTTGTTATAAAACAATATAAGAAGGAGAATAGTATTGCAGAGAAAAGTAGGGAGAGAGACTTATTATTGATTTTTGGATCAATTACAATGGAATAGAACCCTCTATTTATAAGGAGAGGGTGACTTAGTCAAGTAATAAACCCTAGAATCTCTCTAAATATAGACATTCACTATAAATAAAATTCTATTTATAACACTCCCCCTTGAATGTCTATTCAACAGATAATGTGCCTCGTTAATATAAAACCCAGTGGGAAAAAAATTATAGAGAAGGAAAAAGAGTACACATATCTAACTATGCACCTTTTGGTTGCCTCGTTAAAAACCTTGCAAGGAATACCCAGTGGGACAAAACCTTATAAGGGAAAAAGAGTACAACGCATATTAACTCCCCCTGAAGAGAGCATCAATTCACATCCGTGAGCTTTCGTATTCCTATCTTGTGCGCCATCTTCAAAAGTTCGTTGGTAGATATTTGATAAACAAACCAGCCATTTTAACTTCAAAGAATTTGTTTCACCTTGAAATCATCATCCCTGATAGATGTATTGTCTTCATATGATCTTGTTGGAATCGTCATTTCAATATCTCCACATAGGGGTAAAAACTCTTGCTATCATATTATTATGCTTATAGTTATAGCAAGATACATATGTGTACAAACTGCATTTAGGATGTAGTACTTCATGACCATGAATTCTATATGCTTTAAGCAATTTAAATCCTTGAGGGACTGTTAAGTCATATAAGCCATATAATAGACTTTAGATGCACATCAAATTTTCATATCATGCTAGACAAATAAAATATCAAAAACTGATTGCACATACCATTGACTTTATACTTTCAAGTGTTTGAACTACATGTCTTTCATATGGAACCAATTCTATTCGAAATTGTTTCCTATACTTAAGATCCTCATATATATTTAGCGGTATCATAGATGTCGTCGACAAACATTTTATATCAGTTCCAACCTCCTTATTTTCATAAAGATGTAACATAGAGATCTCTTCATTCATATATTCAAGTACCTGAATCTCTAATGAGATTTTATGAAGTGTTATGTCATGTGATCTTCTAGATCACTTGCCTCCTTTATTATGATCAAATTGATCATTTGCTCATCTTCTTTATCAAGAAGTTTATTTTAAACCGATTTGTCTATACGCTTTAAGCGTACCATAGACTTTGTCCTTCTAGGACTTATACTAATAGGAGCATTTGCAGTGAGAATATAGTTACTTCATTTGGGTCAGCAAATGCGCATGGCATGCTTTGCAATTTTTTCGCCATGAATTATCTTTTTATGAACTTCAAGTTCATATTATCTTATTCGAGGATCTAGATGTACACATGATAATTCATTCCACGTAACTTTTTCTCAACTATTTATCTTGTCTCCCTCTCATGTTAGAAAAACTAACTTGCTTCCTCAACTTTGAAAGCCCATCTTTGTGCGTTATGGTGTTAATCATATACACCGCACATCAATAATAATGAGATAGAATTATTTGATTCCTGACCCTGAAACCACTTGTGAGGGGAGAATATAATATACTTTCGTATATAACGTATATCAAACTGATATATATATAACTTTGTTCTCATAAGCAATAGTTTTGCTATTAAGTGGAGGCACTCAATAAATCATTTTGCTAAACCAACTGTGATGTAAACCAACTTATCAAGATAAACTATCTTGAATAGAAAATCTGGAAATATGCTCGAAATTAAATTATTGAGCAAGTTACCTCGCACACACCGGCCAGGTTGCGGGTTAATAATAATTGCACATGTAACCATCTCATAGATGCATCTTATGTGGTATACATGGCGGGTGAATGGGCCCATATTCACCTTTGATATTTCCGGCATTCATGGGATTCAGTCCCAATTTTAGTTGGTTTATTAATTAATAAGAACAAGCAACATAAGAGAATTCGTAAAGAACTTTCTAGTTCTTTAATATTTACCCATGTGAATTCTCTTTTATTTTTGCACATCATACTTAAATTGATATGGCTAAACCAATTATGCCACTGAATAAATTATCAACATCGATAAACTTCGGATTTACACCATGACGTGTGCAATTATCAATAAACTCCAAGTTTATTATGATATGAGCTTTTATATCAATAAATATCCACTTCATTGTGGTATTGTTTTGTTTATGTAGTACAAATTGAAGAATAACGCGGGTAGCTTTTCACATACATATTACCCATCTACAAGTTGTAGTAATAGAAGATATTAAATCTTTCCTTTATTTATAGTCTCAATATAATCAACCGCTTTCGCATATACTTTGGAAACTGAATAAGCTTCTTTGAGACTTACTACAACACAATACCTTATTGGTAATCAATTGTGTTTCTCCAAAATAGTATAATTGGCTCTTACAGAGTTCTCAATTAATTTTGTAGTACCACATATTCATCAACACCCATATGGTGAATATCTCTTTTAAAGAGAAAGTTATACCATTATGGTTATGGTCAAAATTATATGCAAGATCTGTTTCTTGCATTACCGTTGTCTTTTAATAATCACATTGCCAAAATATTTTGGCGTACAATAGGTACGTGACCGGTGATCATTCATGCCATAATAATGATATTATTTTCTTATTTCATCTCAAACCTCCCTCTAGAGGTGAGTGTGGTATATTCACTACCACTAGCACGTTCATATTCTTCCAAGAATGAGTATGTATTTATAAATCTGATGTTGTCACATTCACATCATGAATGGACCATAATCATCTATATGTGCTTTATAAAATCCCATGTCAAATCAATGACAAATATTACATTCACAAAGTGAAGGATTATTTTGAGAATCCTTATTATTCTCATTATCACAATGATGACGATTATAATTTCGTCTATTGCCACGTCCACATCCATTGATACCTTCATGGTAATAATTTTGTCTTATTTCAGACTTATCACATATTGCTATCACATTCTCTTAAGGGAATGAGAATGGAGCAAATTCAATG